GTAGTATGGTGTCACCTGGTAGACGAATTTGCCACAAAGACTACAAAAGACAGCTTTATAACCAAGGCCCCATTAACATTTAATTAATGCCAGCATTCATCTCCATCTAATTCATGTAAGATCCTCAAATAGAAGGCCAACTGCTCCCACAACTGGCTCCCGCAGGCTCCTTGATATCCGAGCACCAGGGTCACCCACTTTCCTTGTCAGAACATGATTTACAGCACTCGGAAAAGTTACATAAATTTCCATACACATCCACAAATGCCCCAAACATCGAATTCCATGTGCATGAGAGTCCAGGCAGGGAGAGGCAGCTGAGGATGGCAGGTGATGAGGAGGTTCTGTGCATTGGGCGGTGCTGCCACGCCACAACTTTAGGGCATTAAAGCTAAATTTGACTAATTGTGAGCGGTTCTTCCTCCGCGGAGCACCTGAGCGCTAATTACATGCCTGGTTAATTCAATAATGTACACGCACTGCGTGCGCGCCCGCTCTCCCATCCTCCACTTCACGAGATTAATGAGGGGGAGACGGTTGTTACAAACCTGTTTGCGGGGTAGTTCTTAACGCCTCCTGGGACGACAACCAAAACTGACAGGAACCAGTCCATGCATACCGCTCCCCTACCATGAGGGGCTTAATTGTCTCTATTCAGCCCACAGGCTTCTGCCCCCCTTCCCCCCATATCCCAAACCCCTTACCCCCCCCCAAGCGCTGGGGCACAGTTAACAGAGGCTCCGAGTGTGGGAAGGAGACTGGGGTGGGGTGCCACACTTTTCACAATACACTGCTCCACAGCACCCCAAAGCATGTCTCTATTAGCAACTGTCTCCAAATGGCCATGCCAAAGGTGTGGGTTTCCACCCTCTTCAATACCAGTGAAAGCTTCCTTGTCTCCCCACTTGTCCCTCCAGATGCTGCTTGAGTCTTTCTTGTAAGAATTGAAATGGGCACATTCCAGGGGCTGCTCCTGAGAGCAGTAAACTTAAACATCTGAGGCTCTGAGACCCAGAAGCAGAGCAGAGACTCGAGAGGACAGAGGGGTGGTGGCTGCAGGAAGGAGGCTTGCCATGTTCCCCAGGGGGATACTGAGGGTCCCCTATGCGGGAAGAAGTCCAATCAGCTTGTCACCCTTGCCCTGCCATCCTTGCTGCCATCAAGGACAAAACAGATGACACCATCCAGGTGTCAGCGTGGGTACCCCAAGACACCTTTTCATACTACTACTTGCCTCGGAGTCAAAGCTTCAGTCCATTCCTCTAAAAATGCTTGCAGAGGAAAGGGGAGCCTGTCCTCGCATGTAGCCCAGGCCTCGCCCCGCCCTTGCGGCCCCACCTCAGGAATGACCCTCCATTCTGGCCTCCTGGGGTGTGATGTGCTTACCCAGGCCAAGGTAGGCATCCATGGAATGGAGCGAACCCCGGCGGCAGGCCGTTCTGCCTGTGTTCAGTTCAGCACTCTGCCTCGGGGCTACCATTTACTGGATATGCCAGGGAGACCAAGCAAAAAAGATAGGTTCTTGCTTTGGGGTGCTTTCAGTTTAACTGTAGTGGAACAGACTGATTGTATAGTTGAATCTGGTACATCCAAGTATATGATCCAGAGGAGGTATAGAGAAGGAACCATCACGTGCTGGGGAGAGGGGTACCCAAGACACTTCTCCCACAAGGGGAGAGCTGAAGGAAGATAAGGAGTTTGCCAGGCAGGGGTAAAAGGGGCAGCAGGAAGGGCCAGGGAACAGCATGTAGGGATGCTCAGAGACTTACAAGTGGTCAAGACAATTTATGGTGGCTTTTTCTTCCTTTCCTCTCCTCTTTTCTCTCCCCATTTTCTTCATTAGCTCTCAGGGAGCGCTGCGAGAGCATCATGGCCCACACAGACCCCCAGGGGACCCTCAGAGCTGGACAACAGCCCATCCACACAGCACAGAAGCCAATCTGCGGTCTCTGCTTCCTCATCCGGCACTTCACCAAGATGACTCTGGATGGAGTCAGAGCCACTCTGGTTGGAGAAGCCAGTGACCTGAAGGACAGATCTACCTCTTTTATGAAAGGAAAATCTGATGCCTAAAAAAAGGGATGCGTCTCCAGTGGTGAAACTTCCAGCATCAACTTCAGGCCCTCCTGAGAGCCATGTTGGAAAGAGAGAGCACCTTCCTAATCGCCCTGCAATGGTAACAGAGTGCTGAACCCACCAGGCATTGTAAGTTGGACAGGCGGTTTTAAAGCATCTCATTAAATCGAAAGTTCTCAAAGCTTTTCAGAGCAATTCACCTCAGGATGAAAAACAGGAGCCCTGGGATCTGCTGTTTCAGCCATTTGCTCACAGGCAGACAATAGTCCGAAGGCAGCTGGGAGTTCCCAGCTCAGACCAGGGGCCAAGTTGATTCCCAAGACCCTGGGCAGGGGGTTGGGGAGGGTCAGGACGGTGCTGGGGACTATATCAGACCTGCCTTAGCTTCATGCTGCCCTGGACCTCAGCCCTCTCTCTCCCCAAACCATGGAGGCCTCAGTTTTTAAAAGAAACAAGGGATACCATGGAAAGTCCACCCCAGCTGTGGAACCACCCAGAGATTTGGGGGATCCCCTCTTGTGGGCAGGCAGTGGCCTGAATCCTGGAACAGACCAGCTGAGGTCCCATCGCCTCAGTCTGCTTCTTCCCAAGCCACCAAGGCCTTGTCAGGCCAGGAGATTAACAGTGCTGCGGGGCATCTCCACTTCCCAGAAAAGCGGAAGCCCCCCATGCAAACCGCACTCACGGGGTTCTACCGCAGGTGCCCACTGGCAACCAAGCGCTGTGGCAACCGCCCGGTCTTTAAAAAAAGGCAAGTCATCCCAGAGGTGCCTTGATTACATCACGGCTGCTGTCCAGCCCGGCTTTTACTCGGGCCCACAGGAGAGCGTGGTCTGCAGCGGCCTGGCTGTGGCTGAGCGGCCCCTCGACCACCGGCCATAGATCACGTCTGTGAGCCCATGGAGTTCATTATCTCCCTAATGATGCTCCTTTTGTAGATCATTAGAAAGAAACTTGACCTGACCTATGAACTCTGAAATTGATTGTTGCCTTGAAACGGTCAACAGCCCATTTTCTAATCGATGCGTAGAATAATTTTATACATATTTAAATTATATATTAACTTTAATGCTTGTTAAATTTATCTACCACTTTCCTCCTGTGCTTCTTTTACATTCAGGCAGGTCTATTTACCACTGGGTGGGAGGAAAAGGGAAAGGGGAGGAAGCCAGGCAGAGACCACGTGAAGGAGGAAAGAGCAAGCCGGCCCTGAACCTGAGAGAGGCGGAAGTACACTTGTATCTAACATGTGTGTGTGTGAGTGTGAGAGGTGACACGTGTGCAGAAGTATGTTTTGTGTGGGATTCACGTGTGGGTGCATCTACCCGTGTGTGTGTGTAGCTATGCGAGAGCAATGTGGATGGGCTGTGTGTGTCTGCCAGAGTGCGTGTGTGCCTGGGGTTATATGTGTGTGGATATGTATGAGAGAAAGGATGTGTGTGTCCATGGGGAGCAGGAAGATGCATGTATGGTTGAAAGTGTGTTTTCTTTCCCAGGCACTCTCCCTGACTTGCCTAACTTGGGAAGTGTCTAACCCCCAGGACCAAGAGATAGAGTGAGTTTCTCCCCAACCTATAAATGAAGGCGTATCGATACAGGTTTTTGTCTAAAAAGGGTAAGCTCAGACCATTAAGGGTATCCTGAATGCGGCTTGTAATTTCTACTACAGAAGAGTCCCCAAAGTGCTAAACTATCTGGAAAGAAGGTCAGAACTGCTAATGGTCCCTAAAGTAGAGGTTCTTAACCTAGTGTTCATCAACCCGAGACCTCTGCAGATCAATGGATCCCTGGAAATTGAAGGCCATACACTGGTGGGGGGGAGGGGGCAGGAGGAGGGTGGGAGTGTCCTGGAAGAGGCTTCATCACATTCATTGGACTTTCAAAGGTTTCGGAGTGTGGAAAAACCACTGCAGGCCAGACAACACACCTGATGGGGTCAGGGCTACTTGTCCTGTCCCCCTGCATTTAACACTTTCAGACACGCAAGCAGCACCCTGGCCTTGCTTCCAGTGGAGGCAGGGCTCACATGGGTTTCTCATCTTAACCAAACAACACCTGATAGGGAGTTACTCCGACCCAGAGCACAGCAGCGGCAAGCAGAAAGCGCTCCAACTCAGGGTCCACACCAGCATGCCCATGGTCCAGGCCACCCAGCCTTGCAAAGCTGGAAACCCCCAAGGCCTGCCTTCTCTACCACCCCTCTGGTTGGAGTGAAAACAGATACAAGCAAGTATGAAAAATCTGAAATAGTCATACTTTTCACCGCAGTTATTTTACTTTCAAGGATCTGGAAAAATAGATCCCGAGATGTGAGCACAGAGATGTTTCTCAGAATATTAACACCAAAGCAAAGACTGGAACACCCACAGCCAGCAAGAAGTCAAATAAGTGCAGCAAAATGCATGTGAAAGGTGTTCTCTGGTGATGAAAAAGCATCTCTGCCTTTGTGGACCTTGCAACCGAATAAGCTATCTCCAAATTTTAAATTTTAACTGCCCACCCTCTACTTTTGAAAGTATCTTAATAAAAGTTTTTAATGATATGCAAATTATACAGTGCAATTATACAGTGAATATACACATGATATTGTGAGATTTCAAATTTTTCTAATGCATAGAGAAAAGGCTCAAATTTTAAAAATCCAAATAATAACACTGACTCCCTGAGGTGGAGTGATTTTTCTGGTCAATTCATACATTTCTGTACTTTCCAACACTGTTATGAGCATGCATTGAGTTCATTTAAAAATTTAAAAAGCTAAGTCAATTCATCTACCACAAAAGTCAGCCCTACCTCCAGACACCAAACTCCTGAACTGCAAATTAGTGTTTTCCTCCTTGGGAGCAGTCTAAATGCACAGGAATGCCTCCCCAAGATTTGCATTTCCCTTTGAGGTCCCTGAATAAGATCAAGACAGTACTTACCTCTTCTGTTCCTGCAGATTCCACTTTCTTCCTTCACACCCAGGATTCTTCAGGCAGCCTGTTTTAACTTAGTCCACAGCCCCCACTATTCAACAGCAACCCCCTCTCTCATTTACAAATAAATGGCCAAGTTAGATAAAAGAACTTAACTGGGTTGTTTCTTCCATTTGAAAACAAGAGGAGGGGGTTGGGCAGAGAAGGGGAAGAAAGGAAGTGGGTGAGAAGCCCAGGTTACTCATGGAGGTTGCTAGCTACTTTCCCGGGAAGATCAAGGTCATGTAATATGTACTGCCTTGACTTTCTTCCCTCTGCCGCAGAAACTCTCTGCTTCATTATCATCCATCCTTCCTGTCTCAAAGGAAGACGTATTCTTTTACTTTGCCAAGGTGCACCCCTCCACCTGGACTATTGATCCCATCCTTTTCCATCTCTTCCAGAACTTTGCTAGATCAATCATCCCCAGGCTCTAGGATCTGTGCGCTCCCCTCTCCAGGGATTTGTTCCCTTTCTGCTGAGCCAGACTGCATGGCTCTGATGCCTTGCTCTGCAACCAGGCGACTTATCCTCTCTGGCTCCATTTCCAGATCTGAAAACTCAAGTAAGAATTGCACCCACTTCAGGGTCCTCCCTTGAGATGCAACGGGTTAAAGCACAACACTTTATGAAGTTCTTCGCAGCCGCTGCAGCACAAGTTCCATCCCCAGCCAGGGAGCTGACCCACATGACACGGCAGACCGCTCCTGACCCACCCGCTGCTCCCATCAGCAGTGTGTTTCAGTGGATCTGTCTGTTCTGCTCCCCACTCTGTCTCTGGTGAAATATCTCACACAACCCCCACCCTCACACTCTGGCCAGTTCTTGTAAAAGTAAATAAGTAAATCTTTTAAAAAGAAAAGATTGCACCGACTTCATACAGTGATTAGAATGAACTGAGATGCTCCCTGTCAAGTGCTTAAAACAAGGGTGTCACATAGCAAACGTCAGCTGCCTTCGTGTGGCCCTAAAACATGCTCCACCACTGCCCACCTGGGGAAACGCCTTTCCTTCCACGCTTCTCAGTCAGTCTAATGTCCTGAACTCTCCTTCCTGGCAAGGGAACCTTTCTCACTGCCTGGATTTATCTGCTTCCATCAGATCACCACTTGGCCAGCTGGCGGCCCACCATCACCCCCACTCACAAACTGCTTTCACAGCCATGGCCAGTGCGGCTCCCACGCCCCCAGGAGCGCCCAACTTTACTGTCCCCACTTTCCAACTTTGGTTCCTTGGCCTCCTGACTCTGAAGCCCCTTCCGTCCTCCACCTCAGCTTCCTGGACCAGCTTCCTGCACCAGCTCCTCCCCCACGGCTCTGAAGCAGGTGCCTCCCTTCTCTCTCAGGCCAGGTGGCCCAAGCCAGCTATCATCCCTCCTGCGTTTCAGCAGCTTCTGCATATCGCTCCCTCCCCTGTACCAAGGTGCCCCACGAAGGTGCATTGCATAGGTGCTGGAAAGCCAGCAGACAGGGGGAGAGTCCAAGGACTGTCTTCCTTAGACACTGAGGCACTTGGGAATAGGGGGCCGTTTCTGGGGTTTACAGGCGTTCATGGCTCCTGGCTCCTCTGGCTCCGCAGTGCCCACAGCGTGAGAGTTGACAGTCCCCCCTTTAACTTTAGTCAAGCCTCTTTTAACGCAGCTTATGTATGTGGATCCCATGGGGCAGTGGGAAAAAAGTGGGCTGAAGATTTGGGAGACCTGTTTGAACCCCAGCTCTGCCACCAACGGTGTGTTCCACCTCTCATTAGCTCATGGTGGTTAGAAACAGGTCACGGTTCAGAAGAGCCCTTGGAAGTGCCATGCTTGTTACTCATTTATTTCACCTTGGCCTCAGTTTCTTTACCCGGGAAATGGGTTTACAACCTCCTTTGAGAAGATGCATCCCCAGTCCGCTGCCTGACTTGGGAAGCCACTCCTTAGGAGACTTCAGAGGTCACCAAGTCATACTCCTCTTCCCCCCAGATGACTGAGGGGCAGCTGGGCCCACCGGAGGGGGTCCGCTCCATCCCAGCCGGGTCAGACGGAGGAGGCAGCTTCAGGTCTGAGGCAGCCGTGGCCCCACATCTCATCAGAGAAACCCCACTTCCCATCCTAGAGGGAGACCCACAACCCCCCACCCCAGCACAAAGGAGGATACCTTCCCAGTGAGGAAAATTTTGGGGAGCAGACAGAAGTTCTGAAGTATTCCGGGGCCCCACAAGTGGTAGCGGGCTGGGGCTGGAAAGGGCCTCTGACTTCCTGGCCTGAGTTCCTGCCTCTGCAGCAGGAAAATCCCCCGGGGTAGCGAGCAGTGGCCGCAGCCCGAGCAGCCCTGCAAGTTCAGGGCCTCAAGGAATAGCAGAGGGGCCCTCACAGCAGCTGGAGCCCCCCCAGCTCCCAGGCCAAGAAGCCTGAGATGATAACAGTTCGCATTTATTGGGCGGTTCTAGATATGCCCAATATCAATGAGCTCACTTACTGTTCATGGTAGCCTTCACAGGTCACTGGCATTGTCAACCCCATGTGCAGAATGAGGGCACTGAGGCAGAGCGGATACTGCCCCAGACCACACATACAACAAGGCTGGGGCGGGCGCTTAGCTAGGCAGTCTCAGCTGCAGCGTGGGGCCTTAGCCAAGCTGCAGATCCCTTGCCATTTTTGTTCCTTGGCACATGAAAACCCCAGGGTTACATCTTGCATCCCCCGGCATCTAGCACAAATAGCTACTCAGTAATGGGGAAATGGGCTGTCCACGGGTCAGATGCCCAAATGAACAAGCCATTCGGTTTTGTGATGGTGCAGGACTATGTGAAGAACAAAAAGAAAGTGAGTGAGGTGAGTGAGGAAGAAGGCTGAGACGTGCTCCTGACAGCAGCAGCCCAAATCCTTTCCCGGCTGTAGAACATCGCGAGAACAGTGAGGTGGAGCCAAGGGGAGAAGAGGCAGATTCTGATTCCGAGTGCATCTTTGACTAGCTGTGTGGGTTCCGGTAAGTTTCTCAACCTCTCTGGTCCTCTTCCTCTGCAGCTTTTTCCTCTGCAAAATGAAGCTGACCAGAACATCCACCTCAGAGGGTTGTCAGGAGGTCTAAACGAACACATGAAGTGCGTGCTTGGGACCCCCCTGGCACACAGGAGGCACTGAGTGTGTTTGATGAGCATCAATCAACATTTTTCACAAGTGGTCCCGCAAGAAGGTTCACATTCATCTTGTAACTAATCCGAATTCTTTCATGTTTCAGCCCTGAGGTTCTACCTCACATGGAGGTCACACACCTATTCCCGGATTCTGACACAGGGCCCACCTTCCCAGGAGAGACCCACATGAGGATTATAACCTGAAATTTCAGATGCCCCCAAAGAAAGTTCCATGTTTCAAGAACCAGGGAAAAGACACACTGAGCCACCAAAAACATTCAGCATCTTTCGGGAGGATTATTTGTTTGTTTTTGCAAATATTAAAATTTCCAATTTTCTTATAACAGTGGTGGCTTCATCAGAAAGCAGGAATTGGATGCCCAGATTATTATGAGAGAGGCTGTGGCTTAATCTTCTCGATGTTTTTATATTTGAGAATAAAGCGGCATTTGGTACTTATCTAAAATTACACAGCGAAAAGGGAAAAGCCCTCGCAGGTATATGGCTGTGATCTGCATATGTGCATGCTTCTGAGTTCATTATGGAATCACAGCATCATGGCCTCTCAATGCTTGAAGGAGGTGCCCATACCACTCTTCTACCCCCTCCCCTGCGCCTCAGGTGGGGAAACTGAGGCCCAGAGGAAGGACATTCATTACCCAGCATCAGCTAGTCACTGATGGGCAAACTTTCTGCCTAAGGAGTGGAAATAAAACTGCTGGCCAGGGAGAGGGACGCACTCTTGCCGTAACAAAATGTTCACCTTTCCCTTCTGGGCAGAAGCACACCCCCCATCCTGCATAACCAACGGGGTCCAACCTCTTCCTCCTATTCCGGACATTCCAGTGGCCAATCTGCCCCCTATTTCCTGTGTGGCCTCCATAATCCAGACTCCCCCTCTGTCAGGAGCACCTCTGCCCACCACAAGGAGGTAAACGTTGCCTTTCCCTCAAGGCCAAGCAGGAGACAAGTTTTTGAGTGTTTCTCTTGACCACCATAGCATGTGAGCACTCTGGACCCCAGAACTCACAGAGCAAGTGTGTTCTGCAGAACCAGGCTGAGAAATACCGGAGAAGGAGCTCAGGGGATCCTGAGGGCAGTCCCACCCAGCCCTGCTGGGGGGCCTCAGGCACACTATTTCCTTTCCCAGAGGCAGATTCCTCCACTGCGCCTGCCCAGGGCAGGTCAGAAAATTAAATAAATGACTTATCCTAGCCAGTGGCTGCTCAGGTAATGAAACCTAGGTTTTAAAATACCCTGTTGACTTCAACCCTTTCATCCACACTTCCTCTGCTTGTTGATTTTGTCACGACCAGGAGCTATAATTCAACTTCTGGGGGTGGGAGTGGGGGGACAGGACCGTGTCCTTTTTAAGGCCCTAAACTTCCCCCAGTGCCTGGACATAGTAAGCTCTCAGCATAAACCTGCTGAACAAACTTTGTTTTCACCCCTAAAGAATTGAGATCCACAATCACAGTAACAAGCCTTTGTCTGTATAGTGATTAACTTTTTGTAAAGCATGTTCACATGTAAAAGTGTGCTTGATGCTCACTTTTCCCTGGAAAAGTGGAAGGTGTCGTGGGATCATCTGTGCCCTCTTCATAAGTGAGGAAACTGAGGGACAGAAGGTTTTGTTTTCGAGGGGACGGAACTCGGAAGTGGTGCAGCATGGGGCTGAGAGAATTTCGTCACCAGCACCCACTTCCAGTGACCACAGAAGGCCTCGTGGAAGAACGGAATCATTTGGATTCTGATTCTGAGCAACTTGGGGAAGCATGTGATGACTGTGTGTGTGAAGACTTCCCCAGCTCCTACAAGGACATCTCTGAAAGGGGTGGCTGAATAAAGGGGCAGGGAGGCAGGGCTCAGGAGGGGAGTGAATTAGAGAAACTCTTCCTTCAGCAAGACAAATTTGTGCAGGGAAACCAGGCTTGGCTGGGGAAGCCAATTGGAAAAGAATGATAGAGAGCTGGCTCCTGAGGTTCATCAAAGTCATTTGTTGCAGGTAAGCTCATTTTTCACAGGCCAAGGGGATATTTACCTGGAGTACACCTTTAAGGAATAGCCGACAGATTGAATGGTACAATGCTTTATTATATTTCACACCCTGGTGATTCAATATGATGGAGTCAGAAGGG